GATGGGACAGAGGTAGGCAGGTAGGGAAACAAAAAGCTGTAAGGGGGGCAGAGGCTGTAGGTAGCAGGCAGGGGACAGAGACTGTGGGAAGGCTTGGTGGCTGCAGAAGCTACCTGGGGGAGACAGGAGTAGGGGCACAGGCACTGTGGGGGGCAGGCTACAGGGGGTCACGTGGTGGGAGAACAAGGGGCAACAGGACCATCTTCCCCCTTAGCCACCTGCCTCCCTACCACATGCTCCCTTGCTGCAGAACTGGGGGTAGGGATAAAATTAAGATGACCCTCTTATAATCAGATCTTATACATGGAAAATTATAACAAATTTATAAATTTCCCATGTATAGAATCTAATTGCTTGGGGGTTGTCTTAAATTCACAGTTGTATTGAATTTAGGTAAATATGGTATTTAATTTTTCCAGTACTGATTTCCATTGAACAGTTTGTCATTCACAGATGTTAGAGATGGGCCAGGTGGGTCAGAACCTTCCTGTAATTGGAGTTTTGTTTTATTTCAAATTTACCTTAAAGAGATTGACAGGGTCAAGTCACTGAAAAATTATTTTTATCATTCCTGAAATCCGTTAGGGTTCTAACATGGTCTCCTAATTTATGCCCATCTTCATTCATTAATATTGGCAGTGAAGAAAGCCCATGGTGAGATTATTGTATTGTGAAATAAAATTCTTGAAACCACAATGAGGCTCTTTTGGCCTTTCCTGAGCTTCTTTCCCACTAGTTCCTCTTCTACCTGCTAGATGTCTAAGAAGTAACATCTGCTTGCATCATAGTGATGCATCTGATCTTAGGAGTGTGATTCTATTATACCCTGGGAAGGTATGTAGCTTTCCCTGTAGGCAGCCTCATGCGCTTGTCATGTCTGGATGCAATTCACTTACAGGGAAGGATTCTGTGTGAAGTATCTGCTATGTCAGGACCTAGCTTGTTTAAGTGTCTGCCTGAAACAGTACACTTGACAGTAGTATTGACTTCACTGTAAAGTAAAGGGAGGAAAAAGGGGAGAGCCTAAACACTCAGTAGCCTTGTGGTTAGAATACTTGCCTAGGAACTGGGAGACCTGTGCTCCAGGGCTAGGAACAGACATTACACATAAAACAGTTTAAGTGATCAGAAACTGGTAATAGAGCAGATGTTAAGTGCACATAAACCAGTTTAAAAATGGCTGAAACTGGTTTGAGATAAACCTGGTTGAATATACTATCAGACTTAACTGATTTAGCTCAAATCGGTTTATGCAATGTCTGTCCCAGGGGCCTTGCTGGTAAATCAGACACCCCCAGCATCCTGGCATGCTCTCTGGGCTGGGCTGGGTGGGACTCTCTGCTCCACTCCAGGGCTGGCACCTCCCCTCTGCTCCCTGGCTGGGGCTCAGCACAGACTTGCAGGCACAAAGTATCTGCCTGGCTTCTCCCTACTAAGCAGGGATTATTCCCCTCTCCCCTCTGCCTTACGCGGACACCTCAGCATTAGCTAGCACAGCACATGTTGGTTAAGGTCCATGCTGTGGGAGAGGACAGAGGCAGACTGGCTTTTTGGAGCTAATCAACAGGTAGCTTAATGTCCTTCCTTGGAAGAGCTGTTTAAGAAGAGCTCCATTAGTTACTCTAGAGAGGCTTTGTTTTCTTAATGAGTTGGTAAACACTGAGTTAAGGGTGATAAACATTCCCTGCTAGGCAACTCAGGATGGGGGAATAATCAGAGTGTCCTGCCGGGGCCTGGCCACACCCCCTTCAGCTCTGCCCTGTGGAATCAAAGGGAGGGCTGGTCCAGAGCCCCCCCAACTTCTAACTTGAGCCACTGCAGGCATGTCCCTGCATTTCTGGGATGTCTATCCAGTACAAAACTGATTTAGCCTAGCCAGGTTAGACTAATCTGCAAAGATTGAATCAATTTAGGCTCAGGCTTTTTGAATGTCCCTAGCCCAGATGTTCATTGCACATAAACCAGTTTGAAAATGGCTGAAACTGGTTTGAGATAAACCTGATCGGACGTAGTATCAGTCTTAACTGATTGGGGTCAAACCGGTTTATGCAATGTCTGTCCCAGCCCCCTTGCTGGTTTAAGATAAACTAGACACCCCCTGCATTCTGGCATGTTCTCTGGGCAGGGCTGGCCCCTCCCCTTTGCTCCCTGGCCAGAACTCCGGCACAGGCTACAGGCATCTGCCTGCTCCCCGCCTCCCCTTCCTTCCCCTCTCCGTCCCCTCTGCCTTGCAGACATCTCAGGATTAGTTAGCAGACCACATGCTAGCTAAGGTCAGTGCTGTGGCAGGACAAAGGGAGAATCAAGAGGTAGCTGGTAATGTCCCTTTGTTTTCTTAATGGGGTAATCAACACTGTTATCAATTCCCTACTTGGCTACTGCAGGGGGGGAAGGGGGAAAGGCCCCTCCCTAATCAAAGCATCCTACCAAGGCCTGGCCACAACACCCTCAGCTCAGCACTGGAAGGAAAGGCAGGGCTGCTCTAGTGCCCCCAGCTTCTAGCCTGAGCCACTGCAGGCATGTGCCTGCATTTCCTTAGTCCAGAGAGAATGTCTTTACAGTTGGAAACTGGTTCAACCTAGCGAGGTCAGACTAACCTGCAAAGATTGAATCAATTCCGGCTCAGGCTTTTTGAATGTCTATCCCTAGCCCAGGTTGCATAGCCTTACAAAGCTTTAAATGTACTTCTTCAGTAAGTGCCCTATCCCCTAGGTTTTGGACCCAGAAGGGGAGCAAGCAAGAGGAAATGTGACTCTGTGACCTAATGGGCGCATCCACAAGAGCACACACATGCATCTTGCAGCATCTCAAAGCCCTTTGAGACACTGTAAGAGGCATGTGCAGGAACAAAAAAAGTGTTCCCTGTGCTGCAAATTTGCAGCATGCAGGCAAAATTAGACCCCCCCAAAAATTTGAGGGAAAAAAGCAGGACAGGTGAAAAAAGCAGGGCGGGGGAAAAAACCTGAGCCAGCTGGAGGCTGGGTCCTCAACAGAGATGCTCTGGTAGCCAGCCAGAGCATCTCTATGACTGGCCTTTGTCCCGGTGCTGAAGTAGGTGGGGGATGGGGATGGGTGGGGCAACCATCAGGGGGCCTGAAGGATCTGGCAGGGGATGGGGCCAGGCGGGACAGCAACTGGGGGGCTGGGGAAGCAAGCTGGGGTGGGACTTCACTTTTCATCTTTTCCATCCCTGAAGCTTGTAAGAGTCTGGCCTTTGTGTGTGTGTACACTTCCATGATAATTATGGTTGGCCACTATGAATTGCTGTTACTCACATGTACTAATGTTTTATTTTATTGTAGCTTAATATTCCCTGGAGTGAGACTGGGTGCTGACAGTCAATTTAGTGATTTCCTTGATGGACTTGGACCTGCACAACTAGTAGGCCGACAGACACTAGCAACCCCTGCCATGGGTAAGAATATTGTATTCTCATGTGTAAGAAAAATGACATCCCATTGCTCAAAGTGTAGCCCAGGTGGTCTGCACCTAGTAGGGCAAGTGGCCTGTAGCTAACAGGTTGATACAATTGGAATGTTCTCTGATGTAGCCTCTCTCACTTTAAACAAAAAAAAGGGTATGGTCCATCCTCTGTTGTTATCCCAAATCAGCTGAAGGTAGAGAATTTCAGCCTGAGAGCTATGATATGTATGGACTGTCTTTGCAGCCTTATTCCTTGCTGTCTCTCAGTTCCTAGCATATTACCAGCTTTTAAATGTGCAGAATTTGAAGATGGTTGACATGGATTATGTCAGCTGTGGCATTGCCTGGCCAAGTACTGAATTTTAAAGATAATCTGGAAATTAGAAACTCCACTCCATGTTTACAACACATCTGACCATCAGATTATAAATGAGACTGCTAGATTCTTGCTAATATAACAAATGAAATCTTAAAATCTGTTCTACAGCAGCCTCACAGTGGTTGTCCGTGGTCTGCTTTGTACTCCATAGCAACCCAGAGTCTCCTCAGTATCATTCACTATAATCCCCACCTTCCCTCCACCTACAGCATATTCCCTGCAGTAAGGCTTTCATAAGCCAGTATAGGGCTGTTTATGGTCCTCTTATGCTCAGTCGGGGTGTGCAAAATGGGCCATATTCAATTTAGATTCAAATGCTGAGATGCTGGGGTGGATGGAGCATTGCACAGGAGTGTGGGGGGCCCTCCCACGTGCTCGGCAGTGAACCCAGATGTGGACCAGAAGTACTTCCAGTCCACTTCTGGGTCTGCTGGGGAGCACATGGGGGCCCTCCATCACCCCCCCCCAGCTCAGCAATCGGCCATGGGGGTACTGTGGGTGCCCCCCCCAGATCCAGGAGGCATCAGTTGCTGAGCTGGGGTGGAGGAAGGGTGGGCCCTGGCACGGTCCCCAGTGGACCCAGAAGTGGACTGGAAATGCTTCTGGTCCACTTCTGGGTCTGCTGCCGAGCATGCTGGGGAGCCCCCTGCACTCCTGTGGGACACTCCATCCACCCCACCATCTCAGCAGTCATGAGCTGCCTGGTACCTTGAGGTATGTAAAAAAAAAAAATATTTAAACCTGTGTCTGTCTGAATCGCCGAATCTTTCTGAATCAATTTGGAGGGTTCCAATTCGATTCAGAGAGATTAAAGGGTCTCCTTATTCAGTTTGGATTTGAAGATTCGGCCACCGATCTGCTAAATCGAATCGGGACCAAAGCTTCACACAGCCCTAATGCTTAGTCTGTACCAGAGAAGTTTCTCACCAGCCCTTTGTGAGCTGCTCTTATGATGTGTACACCACCAAAGTAACCTCCAACATGGGACAGAATCTATCCAAAAATCTTTTGTTTGCACTTGGGTGATATGTGACACACTTACTGGTGTCATGCATTAGGGATACTATGTGAACAAACTTTGACAGCCCTACTGGCCTAACCAAGTGATGTGAGTTGAAAATCACAGGTTGCAAGTAGCGTAGCAGTCACTGAAGGAGCTCAGGTGAGCCACTCAGCTACCTTGGAGGAGGAAGAGGATGCCAGGAGGAACAATGGGAGATTGGGAAGGACACTTTCCTCTTTCCAATTCAGGAGTTCTCCAGAGAAATGAAAAGAGAAGCTTTCTCTTCCATCCATTAAGTTAGCCATAAGTCATAGGATGTTGTAGAAATTCAAACAACAGCTTTCTGGCTTTTCTTATTGAGCAGAAAGCCTATGGACTTTTAACAGTACATTTTCCCCATTATAATAGGAAATATTAAATATTATATTTGGCTTCTTTTTTTCTCATTATTATAAAATCTGAATGAAGCCAGTAGTTCCTCCAGATGGATCCTGTTTACCTCACCCTTTGATTCCAAAGTTGTTTTCCTACCCAAGCCTCTTTCAAAGCAGTTCTGGAGTGATACATATCTTCCCATCTATTGTAGTTTGCCTCTTTCCAGGCTCAGGAGAGGATATGGCCTAGAAAATTCACTCTTCCTATCAAGGGTGTAGGTTGTAGCCATGTTGTTCTAAGGACATAGGCAGATAAGGTTCTTTGGGTAAATCTGATATCTTTTATTAGACCAACTCAAATAGTTGGAAAAATTCTTCGTAGCTAGCTTTTGGGTTTAAATATTCTTTATCAGGCTTAGGAAACAGCTGCAGTTGGTGTGTGCTCTTCTCAGATGGAATGAATAGGAAAGAAGCCAGAGGCTGGTATGCGTGCAACTGCCTTTCTTGCCTGTATACCAGCCTCTGGCTTCTTTACTGTTCAGTCCATTCAGGAAGAGCACACACCAACTGCAGGTGCTTCCTCAGCCATACAAGGGGTATTCATACCTGAAAGCTTGCTAAGAAGAATTTTTCCAACTATTTGAGTTGGTCTAATAAAAGATACCAGATTTACTCAAAGAACCTTGTCTGCCTCTTCCTGACAAGTCTCTCTTCCTAACAATTTCTTTGGTAAGCCTCTTACATACTAATCTCTGCAGAGGGAGTCTCTATGCTGTGGTTCCCTCTGCTGACTGGTTGTGGTAAAGATATTAGTTTCATGCATAGCATCAAAATATGTTCCAGGTGCAAATTTCATGTCAACTATTTCTGGCTCAACACAGAGCTTGTTTATTCAAGAAAAGTGTTGATAGATAACAAATCAGTTTGTTGGCCTGTCATATCTCAAGTACTAAAGCAGCCAAAGTCACTATGCTGTTAGAAATGCATATGAAGATCTCATGTCCAATTACATTTGAAAAATAATACTGTAATAAATGGAATGCGACAGATTCTGTGAACAACACTGCCCACAATGGTTTGTATAGTAATATAGGCCCTGAATGTCAATCCTCAACTTAGGGTTATGCACTGATGTGTACTCAATTTGCACCAAGTATAATAAGCAAATTGTATGTATCTGATTGTCTATTCTTTAGCCCAGAAGCCTAGTTTGATACCTAGCCACCTTTCCCTTCTAACAGTTATAGTGGCTTAATATGCAGCCCTGGAGTTTTAATATTTTGAAAACCAACCCGTGATTACTGTGTTATGTTTTTATTCAAAATCTTCCTTTCCAGGACAGACTAGCAAGTGAATGCCGATAGACAAATTTTCTTCTGTCACTTTCCAAATATTCAGAACTGAGGAAGTAGCTTAGATAGATGCCTTGTGTTTTATGCCAGGGAGCAGCTTGTTCTCTTGACACACACAAAGGGTTACTTTGTATAAAGTGTTTTTCAGGGGGGAAGTTGTGACTGTCATACTTGCTAAAGCCCTTTTATAGAATACACTCCCTATTGCAAAGTTTAGAAGATTGAATGAATGGTTAGATAGGCTTCAGTGCTGGCTGCTTACAGGCATAAAAAAAACCAAACCCGAAAAACAGCACTTTACCTTAAATTCCACACACCCCCACACCAAGCCCAGCACATGCTCAGAAGAGGCATCACGTTAGTTGGACCCAGCTTGCTCAGTGTTTGTATGCATCAGGCACTTCAGTGGCACTTTTATGGTGCTTTTAACTACTAGCTAGTTGAATCAGCTTTACATGAAAGTACCATAAAGCCCTGCTGAAATATCCAGTCTATATGGATGCTGTGGAGCCAGGTCAAACTAATGCATTGCTTCTTCCAGCAAAGTGCATTTGGTTTTTCCCCCACCCCACATCTGTCTGCACCCACTGTTACCTTGTGCTTCCATTGGTTTGTTGCCTCCAGATTTGTCTTTTATATATTAATATGATAACCTCTTTGCAGACAGGGCTATCATTTGATTCTGTCCCTGTTTAGTACCTGACAAAATGGAGTATCAGTCCCCGGTTGGTAGTCTCTAGATTTGACCATACTATAAATAAAAATAATTGCCACAATGCCTGAGTGGTGGTAGTGGGCTAGAGTCTATACTTGGCTTCTCAGGATGATAATAATTATCAGCTCTTATATAGCACTTTCCATCAGTAATGTTCAAAGCACTTGATACAAGGTAAGTATCTTTTATCCTCACTTTACAGATAGAAAAATTGAAGTAACTAGCCAGTGTCAACCAACAAAAGGCCAGAAGCAGGAATAAAGCCCAGGTCTTCCAAATTTGTGGTGCTCTGCACACTGTGTAACACTGCTTCTAGAATAAAATGTTCTCTTTCCTCTCCCTTTCAGGTGATATTCAGATTGGGATGGTGGATAAAAAAGGTCAATTAGAAGTAGAAGTCATCAGAGCCCGAGGACTCACGCAAAAACCTGGCTCCAAATCTACCCCAGGTGAGGGAAAATGTAAATAATAGAACACAATACAAACTATGCCATAAAGTGCAGATTAGATATCTGAAGACACCTTCTCACCTCCTTGAAACGGTCACTACATTTACGTTACTTATTTTGCATTTTGACAGAGGGTGTGTGTGCATCTCCACACAGGTTCAACCACTTGAAAGAGTCCTCTTCTTGCACATAAAATTAACGTTCTGAGGCTGAAACATCCTTGGAACATCTGCAGAGGCATGTTGGAGTTTTTAAGGAAATGTTATAGCCCACTGTGGGTTCGGTGAGAGATCTGGAGTCCCTTGCATTGACATTTAGCATTTGGTTACTTCCTTCAGAAAAGAAGTGGAATAGAGTAGGTGAAAGGGGAATGTCAAACAAGCAAATTGATGTTCCCTTTGAGTGGTACAAGTGTTGTGGATAAATCAGCAAGCTGTACCACCAGCTGCAAGCTCAAGTGGTTTAGCTGGTAGGGACAAATAGAATACTGTTATAATGAAAACTTCACTGTTGGAGGAAGGCTTTGCTGGAAATTGTTTTTATTTTCCAGGAAAATCACTGTGCTTCGTAATACTCAGAAAACAATTTTAGTTAAGAATTTTCTAAAAATGTTTGTTTAAAACCTTTTAAGAGGGAAAAGGTGAACAAGGAATAGTTGCCTTTTTATCTGAACATTTAAAGAAATGATTGTGTGTTCAGCCTTTGAACACCCGTTTCACTGAAACATCAAAGTCTTATATTTTGAAATGGCTCTGAACTCCAGGCCTCTGGCACATGTTATATTTCTGGAGTGATTAACATGTTAATCACACTATTAAAAAGCAACATACTACATGTTCATTAAAATTTATGGTGCCATAAAATAGCAAACAAGCCACAAAAGATATTACTTAAAAACGTGTAACATCTAATGTCGTAGATGATTAAATCTGAAAGACCTTTAAATATCCAATTGAATTTCACCCATCTACGCTGTTTACTTACTGTGTAAAATTTCGCTGACTTTGGGCGATTAAAATAGTTTTGGTCATTTTCTTTCTAGTCAGCTTCTTTTTGATTTTCATGCAGTAGCACAGTAATGTATCAGTGGGAAGGCCCTAAGTCCTAACATAAACTTGTGCTATTACACTTTGTAGCTCCATATGTCAAAGTATACTTGCTGGAAAATGGAGCCTGTATAGCTAAGAAGAAGACTAGAATTGCACGGAAGACCCTTGATCCTTTGTACCAACAGACACTGGTTTTTGATGAAAGCCCACAGGGTAAAGTCCTTCAGGTCAGTCATTTCTTAACCTTATTTCAGGTCCTAATTTTGTAAAGCACTTAAGCATGTACTTAACTTTATGCATGTGAGTCACTCCTCCCCTAATCAAATATAATTTAGTTTTACAAACACCAGCTGGTACATCTGTGTGGTTCACAATGTCATTAATGTCATTAGAGTTCTGAAAAGCACCTGTGTGGTTGCATCCTCCAATGGAATCTAACATGCAGTCTTACTATGATGTTTCCCATAGTCGCATCCTTCTCTTTCTCTTTGGGAAAAACATTGACCCTGTTCACTCAAGTAGTGAGTTACACCATGAATGAATATGTGCATGTGTGTGTTTTTGGAGAGTATTGAATCTATATTTTATGCCATTGCAGGTGATAGTTTGGGGAGACTATGGCCGAATGGATCACAAATGCTTCATGGGGGTTGCACAGATCCTTCTGGAGGAACTTGATCTGTCCAGTGTGGTAATAGGCTGGTATAAATTATTTCCACCTTCATCACTAGTGGATCCAACCTTGACTCCCCTGACTCGCAGGGCTTCCCAATCATCTCTGGAAAGTTCAGCTGGGCCTCCTTGCATTAGATCATAGTGAACTTACAGTAGGGGCTGTCTAATAAAAATGTTACAACCCAGGATAATTGGAATCAGATATATACATTGATTAAAACCATTGTTGGAGAGAGACAATCACTTCTGTTTTTCCTTGTAGCAGTTATCCAAAATGTCTGAATTTTTTGTTAAAAGATGGCTAAATTGACAAAACAATATATCAAATACAGGAAGTCAATCTACTAGAAATAGTCACTGATGCTTATAGCAATTAAAAAGAACATGGGCCCTCTAGACTAGAATTAAATTTTAAAAAACTGGAAGCTCTCACTCTGTTAACAATGTTGTCTTTTTCACATTTAGACAGAGCCCAGAAGCAGTGTTAAATTCCTGGTATTCCAACAGTTCTTCTGTATTTGTTACTTCCACTAATTTTTTGTTGTGTGATTGTGCCAGTTTTGGGAAAGTCTTCATAATGCTAACAGAGACCCTTCCTTTCTTTTTCTAAACCAAACAAAAAAGGGCTGAAGTATATCTCTGTAAGCATTCCTTAAAGTGTTCAAGAGCCAGAATTACCAGACGCAATGCCAGTGAGATTCTAATTGTTTCTCAGTTCTGGTTCTTCAAAGTCTTTCATGTGGAAACCCAAAACAAATGACCATTCAAGATAATTCCTTTAAAAAAATTCAGACCACTAACTTTTCTTTGTAAAAAAGCAAAACTGTTTGCATAATGATTTTTGTTTTATGATATTTTGCATGGAAGAGTTTTGAAGAAATCTATCTGCAACTAATGCTGGGGACTGATAAGAAAAAAAAGCTTTAGTCTTAATTTTGACATTGAAAATATTACTGGTAATGCAGTTTTCTTCCTAGATTTAAAGAGGAAATATTTACGTTTATGTGTATAAATGTATATTTGACTTCCCAAAATGTTGACCAGGAATGGGTTGAGCATATGACACTTTCAGCTGTACCCAGGCTTCTCCAATACGTGTCACTTTAGACACACGTGTCTGCCCTGGATAGAGCATGATATGAGATGTTCAGTATTTCACTGGAGATGCCAGTTGAAATATTCTGCACTTACTAATGTTTTTATCAAATTTTAGTTTACATTTCTTTGAGATTGATGCAAGCACAAAGCTTGATTTTTTACCGCAAGATATCTTACTTTTTTGGGAAAAAAGTCAACTTTCAATTTGCATTTTATTCATTTGAGTTGTTCTTGGCCTTGAAATCTCTAGTGATTTTCTGTAAATGTGCTAAAACTGCAGACTCTGCAGGTGCATTGAAATGTTTTCCCTCCTTTTACAGGCCATTCAATTTTGTGATCACACAAATAGAGCAGCATGACTTGGAACTGTTCAAAGCTGCATGCACGTTTTGTAAAAAGAAAAAAAAGGTTATTTAATAATGTATGTTAGTTCCACATAGGCCAGCTTGTATGTTGCATGTACTTGTACAGTTTGCTCGTAATTACTATACTGAAGTAACCAAGAAATCTAAGCCATCCATTTTTCTTATAGACATTTTGCAGGTTTTAGCCAGGCTAGGTCTGTGAGTCTGGTGCTAAATGTCTATAGATGGACTTTATTTTTTACCCTATGGAAAACGTGATGTAGTACGGACCAAATTCCTTCTAATAAATATTTTGGTGTAGATTCCTACTGTGGGGCTGTAACACATGTAGAGATTGTGTACACACTAGGTTTTAATTCATAGACATACTGCCTGCACCAAGTGAACTATTTACTATTATTTACCATGCCGGAACTATTCTGCCCATCTTTCCATAGGGCACAGTTTGATTACTGCTCGACCTGCTGAGCAGGAAGAACTGAAGCATTGGTGCACTACTACTAGATTCTGTTCTGTCTTAGTGGCCAAAAAATCAACTAATGATAATTCGGTAGTATCTTTCTATTTTGACCACTTGTCTTAACACTCCCCTGTGCTTTTAAATGAACTTCCAACTCATGTTATGTAAACATGTTTAATAAAATTTCCTTTTCATGTCCAGTGGAGTTGTTGTGTTCCATGTGTTCTGAGGTTCATCTGTGATTCCATGAGGAATAGCAATTTCAATAATTATTTTAAGATCTGGCACTAGATCCAGACCTCGCATTAGTATGCAACCTCAAGCGAAGTTGGATTCTTTTTCACCAAGGAGGAGGCCACATTGTGCCCTCATTAATATCCATGCAATCATTTTGCAATCAGTGGACCGAATTAAGACCTTGTAAAACCATGTTGAACTCATTTGGCTTCAGTGGGATTGCATCTGCTTATACGAGGCCATAATTTGGTGTGTTGGAGTTGCACATATTAGAACTTGCCACCACTTATTGTTGGCAGTGCTATATAAATAATATGGACAACTTTTGATCCCTTGCATTCATTTAAATGCGGAATAACACAAATTTATTCTATGTAAGTAGGAGCAGAATTTGGCATTAAGTTTTATTACTACAGAAGCAAAAATTGTATGGTTTGTTAGATTTGAATCTTCCATATCCCCCAGGTATCAAAACATAAATACAGTCTGGCTTTGCTTTTACAACCTACATTTAACTGAGCACAAGATACATCTTCAAAATAAATAATTGAAAAAGATATATCTCTGAACAAAAAGGAATTTTAGAGTTCTAGTTGTGTATAGTACGGATGTTATACTGAAATACAGAAGAGATTATACTATTGCAAAACCTTCACAGCTTTTTTGAATAAATATTTCATGGATCTCAATGCTTTGGATATTCTATCCAAAAATGAAGAATTGTTGGACTCTTCAGGCATTGGTGGATCTAGGATTTTGATGGTGATGTGCATCATCATATGTAATGCAACACCTTTTTCTCCAGGTAAAAAGAAACTAGAAGCTCTACTAATGTGCTAGGGGCCTAGGGTTGTATTCACTTTCAGATCAATGCAAAAAGAAATATAACTCTATTGAAATGAGTTGAAAGTAGTTGGTAAAGGCAAGTTTGATTAGTGGAACATCAAGACCATTAAACAGGAGAGTGGGAGTACACTCTTAACACCTGTGGAAGGAAGGGTTTAGAAGGAATTGGATAGATTTAATGAGTCATGCAGCAGATTTTCAGGGAACCAGTGACTCTCCTCTACCTCCCTTTCGATATGGAGAAGAAGAGTAGAGAACTGGGATGCTGAGGGTCCCTACAGACTCCAGTCATGCTACATGGTACTGCAAACTCATTACATGTAGTATAGTGCTGCCAAGAATAAACTGTTTGAAAGTGCTGACAGTTTGTAGCACTTTCATCATCTTTGTAGTGCTACAAACTGCTTGAAAAACCATATGCTCTGTTTTCGTAGACTGCAAAGGCATATTTTGCACTAAAGATGCAATGACTGTCTTTGGCCTCAGATATAATCAGACATTCATTTTCTCCATGACAGGAGTTTACTTTAAACTCTACATTGAAATCCACTTCAAATTTGATATCTTTAAGTACAGGAAAAAAGCAATCAGGCTAGAGAATCTAGTCCAGGGTCCTTAAAATTCTTAAAGGCAGATAGGAAACATAGGTTATGCACTTACCTCTCTCTTTTCTTTGCATTGTACAACAGTCACATAAGTAATTACATTGCACTCGCTAACAATTACTCTCAATTACTATACTTGGAAAAAAAAGCCTAAAAAGTGAATTAAGCACTGATATTAAGCTGAGTTTTATCCACTACAAGCTCTGCTTTTTATTAGAGTGGATACAATTCTCGACACTGCTTCCATAACAGAAATGTTATGAACAGACCAGAATTTTATGGAGTGCAATGAATTATTTTATTAAAACACATATCCATTACAGTTTTGCATTAGTTCCTGATCTGGCATGGGCCTTGTTCCTCCGTGATATAGCTCCATTGAATTAATCCAATTTCTCTCTTGAATGAATTATGTCAGGAAGAAATGCTAAACTTTATGTTTAATTCCAGAATGCAGTGCAGAATTTAATACCTGATGTTACCCTAGTATATTACTGAGGATAGAGTGGATAGCTATGTGCAAAATATCGTGTATCCCTATTATCTCCAGAGGTGTTCACTTGGAAGGTAAAGTTTTCTATCCATCCAGAAGACAGTGTTCTTGACTATCATCCTCCCTTTATTTTTAAGTAATACTCTCTAAAGCTACATGCAAGTTGCTTCCAGTCCTACATGAATGAACACTGGTTCTTTGGGGGTGGTACCCTAGCTACAAAATATACTATAAATTATAAAGGATAAAAACACACTAGGAAGAGTAAATATTTTTGTAGGCTCTCAATTGTTTACCAGAACAGTAACTCTCAGTAGGACTCTTTGCCTCCATTCAGAAATGCATTGCATGCAACATCATGCTGTTGTGAGGAGGAGTGAAAAATAACATCCTTTATTAAGTCATAACATATCAATCTAGCAGTTTATCAAAGGGGGATTGCCTTCTGTATACAGTTATCTGAAAACAGTTTAAAATATTTCAGGAAAGTGTTGCAAGAAATTCAAAATAGCAAATGCTATCTCAACAATATTTCGTAGAGGGAATCCTTGTGATCTGTTCCTTGTCTGTGTCATAGGACTATGGTTGTGTGGCTGCATTTGGCAAATGGATGTCCACCTGAGCTGAGTTATCTGAAGGGTATGATAAAAACCTACTGCCATATTCTGAGGAAGTTGCTTTGTGAAAGTGATGTACAACAAACTGGTCTTTTAGCTGTGTCCCAAAAAGTTATGTTTGTTTAATGCGCCTCTAAATTTTTATATACAAGTTAAAATTCAGCAACAAAGTCCATAGTGGCTCCTCTGATAAACTGCTGTATGTGTAGTGGAGAGGAAGGATGACCTGCTGATCAGGACACTAGACTGGACTTGAGACCCAGATTCCTTGGGTTGTCCTGCCCGTGATTTCTTCTATGACCTTGGGCAGTTAGGACGAGCTTGACAAAGGGAAGCCATTATAGTGGTGCTGCACATTCTCAGAGCTAATGGTCACAAGTAGAATTCAGGAAAGCAAGTTAGACACTTAATTCTCAGTTCTTCATATGGGGAAAATGAGATACCTGTGCCCATGTATAGATGTTCAGTTTCTATTGGGAGAATCACCGTTCTCCCAGTAGAAATCAGAATACAAATGTTCAGGCTGTTTCTCCTCAACTAAAAGTGGCAGTTCCAGGAAAAAAATAAGACAACTACAATTAGGGAGAAGTTGGTCCCAGGAGAGTTTCTCCTAGCACCTTGTCCTCCTAGAAGAATAAACATGTGTACACTTTCTCCTGGCTTAAGTCCTCCTAGGGACCAAGAGGAGTAGATCCAGGGGAAAGGCTCCTGTGCTTTCCCCAAAACCAGCAGCACCTGTCCCTCCTATAGACCAGGAGAGAAGAGGAGGATCAGCTGCTAACTGCTCACTCCCAGCTCCTCACACTCCAGTGTGAGCATCAGGTAAGGTACTTTCCCCACACTCCTCTTATTGCTTGATTCCCAGGCACCAGAGGCAGAACCACTGCAAGCCCTCTTCCTGCAGGCATTGCAAGTCCATGATGACTTTGCTTTGCTGCTCTTCTCCCCTCTTGGACAAGTCATCCAAGCAGACATCACCCCCTGCCTCCCTGCAGTCCTCAGTTTTGGTAGAAGGTGTGGGGCTTTGCCAACCCCATCAGCTACCCCTTGTCACCTGTGCTGTCCAGGTGGGCATCAAGGGTGGCAATTTAAAGGCCAACATGCTTGGAAAGCAGGCTCAAGGACAGCTTCCCCCACAAACCCAATTCCCATCCTTGCTGGGTTTTAAATCATCACCCTGAGGACAGCATAGATGGCAAGGGAAAGCTGGTGGGGCCAGAAACTGGGATTGGGAAGAGTCTTCCCAGAGTCTCACAGTGGACTCCCAGGTGTGCAGAGCAAGCGGGGGCTTTGCTGCAGTCTGAGGAACTGGTGCGTGGCTTTGCCTTGCTTCCTCTCCACCACCACTTGACCAGTCTGGGAGGTTACAGGAGCAGCCACCACTACTCCCTACATTTTCCCCAAGACTGGGGACTGCCTGTCTTGGGGAAGGGTCTGTGGGCTTTGCCCAAGTATTCCTTCTGCTCTCCTCCTGGAGACTGGGAACAGAGTAAAGGAGGCTGCTCGCTGCCCAATCTCTAAACCCCAGTCTTGGATCCTCCTCTTTCCCCCTGATCTACAGGAGGGACAAGAGACTTGCCTCTGGCTCCACTCCTCTTGGTCCCTAGGAGGACTTAAGCCAGGAGAAAGTGTACAAATTTTTATTCTTCTAGAAGAAACTCTCCTGGGAACAACTTCCTAATTGGAGTTGTCTTATTTTTTTCCTGGAACTGCCACTTATGGTCCAAAAGAAACAGCTTGAACATTTGTATTCTGATTTCTAGTCTTTCCTGCTGCTCCACTCCCCCCACACACTGGGAGGAGTGGAATAAATACTGCACCCTATGTCATCCCCAGATTGAGGAGTGGGAGCAGCTGCAAGTTGAATGTCTTTACATTCCTCCAGGGAAGATTTCTACCAGTGGAAATTATTAGTAGAAATGAACATCTATTTGTGGCCTATGGTTAGGATCACAATCCCCAGCACTCTGCTAAGCAGGGGAGGAAATAGGAAATGCTGAAGTGTGGAGTGTGTCTGAAATTCTGTTTCTCCCAATTTAGGCACCTATACCTGCATTTAAGCTATGTTTACCTGCAGCCTTCAATTAGATAGCGATGTGAGAGTGATAGTCACAGCCTGAACCTGCACCATGACTAAAGCATATATAGGTGACTAAATCACTCTTATTTAAAAACACACAAGAAGGAGGAGGGTCCTGGGTTCTGGTCCCTGCTGTAATGGACTGTATAAGTATGGTTCATTAGAGTGTGTCTGGATAAAATGTCTGGAGTGTTGGGAGCAGGGCTTGACTCATGACTTCTAGTCTCTTTGGCAGAAATGGGCACTCATCACTGGGTTCCCTCTCGCTTGCTTTCTCTTTTTCTGTTTCTCTCCCCCTCTCTTGTCTTAAG